ATGTCAGACCATGTTCTGCTGCTATTCATGAGATTTTCACTGGCTAATTCTTTTTCAGAAGTAGACTGCCAGGTCCTTCTTCCTAGTCTGTCTTAGTCTGGAAGTTCAGCTGAAACCTGTCCACCATGGGTGACCCTGCTGGTATTTGAATACTGGTGGCATAACTTCCAGCATCACAGCAACACGCAATCTGCCACAGTATGACAAACTGACTGACAGCTAGCTTAGTGGTCAGCTCATGATTAGACAGAGATTTCCGTAAATCTTTACGAAACCTATAAATCTCCCACCTTTTGCTGAGCAGTTGTTTGTATGTGTTGGGGCATGCTTTCAACACTCAGGTAGGCAGCTTATAACTTTTTCTTAACCTTTACTTCCTGGTCGTGTAGAGCATTAAGGTCATCCAGAGGTGAAAGCTTAGGACTAACTCACGTCTTTCCTGGGTATGCACACATCTCTGCACATACACATGGCTGTCTTGATTCCCAGGTATATGTTAGAGCTTTTCAAAGTTCCCTGTGGACACCTCACTCCCTAGCTTTTCTTTTTAAGCTTTTTGATCAGCCACTTGTTTGCCCAATTATTGCTGCCTCAAGCAGATGCAGTGTTAACAATTGCTGGTAATAGTTTTCTAAAGTGACCTTTCCACCCACTCTCAGTTCCCTTCTTCCACCCCCCAAAGGCTCTGAGTTGGGTCAAATAAAGATAAGCCTTGCAAGTGGGATTTTTCAGAGGACTTCAGGTCAAATAATGACAGTTACCTGGGAATGGGACTTGGGAGAACCTCCAACCTTGTTCTGCTCCCTCCAGTGCCTGCTAGATTGCTGGTTTTCAAGGCTACCAGGGGGCAGGGGAATGGGCATAGAGCAGATTAAAACATGACAAAGCTCACTTGAGATTCAGCCTTTTAAAAAAAAAAACAAAAAACTCCCTGAATTGTTGCACGTCCTTTGTCAGTTTCCAGAGTTATGGAAAGGTTGATTTTGGCAGTTTTTCTTAGTGTTTTTGTGGCTTTTATGAAGGAGAATATTTTTGGAGGTCCTTATTCCACCATTCCTGCTGACTTCACCCACTTAAGTCATTATCACATTGCCTTCACAATCTGTAATTCTTTCATTTGTGTTTTTATTCACTTGGCTTATTTTCTGCCTTCCTTATCAGACTGTAAGCTCCATGAGGGCTGGGATTTTGCTTTATTCATTGCCTGAGATTGTACTTTTGATAGAATAGGCTGTCAGTAAGTATTTATTGGAAGAAGGAACTGAATTAATAGCTCCTAACAAGTCGGGGATGTTATTGAGTACCTACCATGTGTAGATACTTTTACAGAAAAAGAACATCACATGGTCAGTTTGTTCCATTTTCTTAGAACAGTAATGGAAGAGTTTGGATAGGCTCACTATATACTAAATAATATTGGGAATGCAAAATAAGTAGAAAACAATTTTTACCTTCTAAGTTTATTTATAGTTGAGAAAATAGACAGGTGACATAACCGAGAGTAAAAGTGTAGATAATAAAGTGCCAGATTTTGTGGCACAAACACTCAGTGTAGTAGTACAACATAGGATGGGCAAGAAACTTATCAGGACAAGTTCTGACTAAATACTCAGATATGTGAGATTCCCAAGGATGGCCTACCATTGTCATCATCCACAAGGACCTGAGCACTTTTGATGTGAATCAAAACTGACCATTTCGTTGTGAGAAGAGAGTTTGTTTTTTTACAATAACCAAAAAAAGGAAACACATTTAGGTTAATAAATTAATTTCCCAATGCCATACAACTAATAAGTGATGGAGGGGGCACTAGAAGCTCTTCATGGTCCATGCTTTTTTCTTTCTATTATGCTGCTTCTCCATAGCGGCTTAGTTTATCTCAAAGGCTATCACACGGGGTCGTCATGAGTTGGGATGGACTTAACGGCAACTAACAACAAAATCATTGGGACAAGCTCCTCTCAGAAGAGGAGAATGATGGAGAAGAAAAATTTCCAAAACTTCAGTTGCTGGTTTGCCTTTTACCTCAGAATTCCAATATATCTCATCAACAAATTCTGCACCTTAATTACCATACTGTCTCCTTCCACAGGACCTTTGCATATGCTGTGCCCTCTTCCTAGATTGCTCTTTCCTCCCCTCTTCCCTAGTTTTCCTCTACACATCCCTCAGATCTCGGTGTAAATGGGATTTCTCTAGGGATTCTCATCCTAATTTCTGTGACTGAGTCAGATCTCCGTTTTAGGTTCTCATAGTGCCATGTTCCTTTCCTTTTTAGCACTTGTGACAGTTATGTTTTTATATTTGTGTGATTATGTGGCTAAGGTCCATGCCTTCCACTTTACTGTGAGTTCTTTGAGGGCAAATATCCATGTGTATTTTTTAACAGCTTTATTGAGGTATAATTTACATACCATAAAATTCACCTGTTTTAAGTATACAATTAATTGATTTTTCAAAGTAAATTTACAGAGTTCTGCAACTGTCATCACAATTCAGTTTTAGAACATTTTCATCACCTCAGAAAGATTCCTCTTGCCCCTTTGCAGTCAATCCCCATTTTCACCCCCAGGCAACCACTAGTCTTTCTGTCTCTATAGATATACCTTTTCTCATATAGGTAGAATTATATAATATTTAGTCTTTTGCGTCTTTCTTCCTTCCCTTAGCATGTTTTTGAGGTTAATCCATATAGTAGCATTATCAGTAGTTCATTCTTTTTTATTGTTGAGCGACATTCCATTATATGGATATACCACTTTTTGTTTATCCATTCACCAGCTGAAGGACATTTGGATTGTTTCTGCTTTTTGGCTAATAAGAATAATGCTGCTGTGAACATTTCTGTACAGTCTTTGTGGGGCATATGTTTTAAATTCTCTTGGGCGTATGTGTAGGAATGGATTTGCTTGATCATATAGTAAGTTTGTGTTTAACTTTTTAAGAAACTGCCGAACTGCTTTCTAAAGTTGTTGTACCACTTTTACATTCCCACTAGTAATGGGTTCCAGTTTCTCCATATGCTCACCAAAATTTGTTATTATCTGTCTGTTTTATTGTAGCCATTCCAGTGAGTGTGAACTGGTATCTTAATGTGGTTTTTCCATGTCTATTTTACTCATATCCTTAGATCTTGGCATAGTGCCTGGCACATAGTAGACACTCACTAAAAACTGTGAAAGTAAAAAAGGACTAATATGGTTTTACAGATGGCACCTTTAAGGTGGCTCATTTGGAAAAGCTTATCTCAAGTTAATTTTTCGGCCATTTATAGAGGGACACTGAGGCAGAACAAGAGTCAATCCCGGGGACTTATTGTAGTAAATTGTATAAATAAGGAAAGATCCCAGATATCTAGCATTGACACAATCCCACTCATAGTATGATACTTTGCATGTGATGAGTACATTCATGTGATACATTTTTTAAATGACTCCTTTGTTCCGGGCACCATACTGGGCACTGGGGATATGGCTTGAACAAGACAGATACACATCTTGCCTTCATGGAGCTTACAGTCTAGTGGGAGTTATAGACATATTTAACTGACAATTAACAGTCCGGCATGACAAATGCTGTGATGAGAGAAGTGCAAAATGATGTGAAATATATAATACAAATATCTAAGCTGAGATCGGAGGAAATAGTTGTCCACGCAAAGTGTTCTAGGCAGTTGAAACAGCATCAGTAAATACACAGAGATAAGACGCAAATGGGAAACTAATATAATTTCTATAGGCTAGGGAGGAGAGGTTGAGGAAGTGAGCAGGAGTGAAATCCTACAAGACCTTACAAACCATTTTAAGGAGTTTCAAATTGACCCGGTGGGACAGGGAATCCTTGAAGGGTTTTAATCAGAGAAGTGGCATGATCACATATGTGATTTTAAAAGAGTACGGTGACTTCTTTGTGAAGAGTGAATTGGAAGGGATCAGAGTGGAGTCAGGGAGACCAGTTGGTAGACTTGTGTAGTAATTCTGGTGAGAGAGCTGTGGAGACCTGAACTAGTGAGAGAAGTAGATAGGCTAAGATAGTATGCACATAGGGGAAAATGCCTTGGTTTTTGACATGAGCCTTGGGGTGAATGTTGGTTTCATTCACTGAGCTAAAGGACTGTTGAGAATAGTAGGTTTCGGGGAGAAGACGATGAATTTGGTTTTAGATTTTCTGAGTTTGAGAGGCCTATGGGTCAGCCCTGTGGGACTGCAGCACAGGAGGGATTTATTGGTTAGAGATAGAAATTGGAAGTCATCATTATATGGATAGCTACTAAAGAGCTACTAAGAGTAGATGAGATTGCCCAGGAAAATGAGAAGAGAAGAAAGCCTGAGACCAGAACCCTACATACAAGAGACAGGTAGAGAAAGAAGAACTTACGGGGAGATAGAAGGAACCTGGGAAAGTTTAAAGTCCTAGAAAATAAGGAAGAGTTCATCAGGAATGGACAAGTGGTTGGCAGTGTTTGTCCACTAAAACATCAACTATAGGATATGGATTGAGAGGTGTCTATTGGATGTAGCAATAATGAGGTTGTTCATGACTTTGGCTAGGGCCATTTAGCAGAATAGTGGGGGCAGAAGACAGATTGCATTACCTTGAAGAGTGAATGGGTGCTCAGAAAGTGAAGACTGGGTACGGGTAATGTTTTCAAGAGGTTTAGCTGTGAAGGAAATGAGAGAGGGCAATAGGTTGAGTGGGACATGGGGCTAAGGGAAGGTTAATTTTTTTTGTTCTTTTGATTACTTTTCCTTATAGGGATGTGATTTACCTTTTTAGTATTATGTCTGTATTCTTGGCTTCATTTCATTTTGAGATGACGGATGGGGCAAGAGTTGAAAATATTAACTATTTAGCTATTGCGTTATGTAGTTAATCCTTTACATGTGGTATGAAAATAGCTTTACTGTCTTAATTAGCTAGATTTTCTCTATAATTTTTGAGAGATTTTCTTGATAATAAAACCTCATTTTAATATATTGCATCTTCTGTTTGTTTTTTAGATCATTCATCGAGATATAAAACCTGAGAATATTTTAGTGTCCCAGTCAGGAATTACTAAGCTCTGTGATTTTGGTTTTGCACGAACACTAGCAGCTCCTGGGGACATTTATACGGACTATGTGGCCACACGCTGGTATAGAGCTCCAGAATTAGTATTAAAAGATACGACTTATGGAAAGTATGTATGTTTCAGGATCCTGCCTAGCCTTTCCTGGCCATCTCTTTTTTTTCTTGGTGTATCTGTCATCCCTATTACTGATACCTTCTGCTTTCCATGTCTCGGTTGGGGCTAAGAAGAGAGACACCTCTAGTAGTAATGTAAGAGAAAGGCCTAGTAGGCCCCTGTGGTGCTGGCTACCGCTGCTGCCATGCTTGCCCGCTGGGGCTCAGTGGCCACAGCCCCAGGAGTCCAATGCAGAAGTTTCTCAGGACCTATCCAGACTTGCTTTAAGCTGTGCTCCAACACTTGGCAGAGCTGCCTCCTCTGTATATCTTTAGACTCTACATTCTGCAGAGATTTGTAAATCATTTATCTCACTCTGCCGGTGTTACGATAGGAACTGCTAAGTTTCCTATTTCCTGGAAAATGGCATCCTCACTGCAAAGAATGACAAATAATTTTTAAATTGTACTGTTCTAGGTGCCTCAAAAAGTAGCATGGTTTCAGCCTAATATGAAACCCAGCAGTCCTACAGAACATAAAGTGACCAAGGTGTACAACTGAATTCAAGAAATGGGGAAAGAAAAATAATTCTCACATGCTGCAGTGAACATTGGTGAACAAGTAACTGTTTGAATCCCTGCCTTCAATTCTTTTGAGCAAATACCTACAAGTGGAATTGCTGGGTCATATGGTAGTTCTATTTTTAACTTTTTGAGGAACCAGTATACAGTTTTCCACAGTGGCTGTACCATTTTGCATTCCCACCAGCAATAGATGAGGGTTCCAGTTTCTCCACAATGGATGAGAGTTTCAATTTCTTATATCCTGCTTCATTTCTTTTTTATTTTAAAAGGTTTCCTCCTTTTCACGTTTTTTTCTTCTTAGACATTATCTGTTATGTGTACTCACTTTTGTGTCCATACTAGTTTAGTCTTAATTTCTGAAATGATTTTTTATTTTGAATTTGTTACTGAGTTTTGTCAACTAATTTGAGTTTCTCTAATTCTGATTTATATTGTTCTTTCATGTCTTGTAACATTTTCTTAATGTCTGTTAGCTCATTTTGAAATAGGTCAATACAATTTTGATCTTTTTCATGGGGTATGGCTTTCTAGTGGGCTTTTGTTGTCTGCAGGGATGTTATTCTACTCCTTGTTCTCTTTTTTCTTATAATTTTGTAAGGACTGAAATTTAACTTCAGTACTTGAATGTTATTCATTTTTATGTGAAATTAGTTTTTCTGAACTTTTAGACCAAAAAAACCCATTGCTGTGGAGTCGATTCCGACTCATAGTGACCCTACAGGACAGAGTAGAACTGCCCCATAGGGTTTCCAAGGAGCCGCTGGTGGATTGAAACTGCCGACCTTTTGGTTAGCAGCCATGGCTCCTAACCACTGCGCCACCAGGGCTCTGAACTTTTAGAAGGAGGCATATTTCAGGATAGCTTTTCTAACTTCACAGAACTGCTTCTGCTCTTGTGTTAAAAAACCATGGTAGCTTGCTTTCTGAGGTATCCTGCCTCTGTTTCCCTCATATACTTTTATCTGGGTCTTCTCATCCTTTAGAAGCCCTGGTGGCACAGTGGTTAAGGCCCTCGGCCGTTAGCCAAAAGGTCGGCGATTTGAATCCACCAGCCATTCCACGGGAGAAAGATGTGACAGTCTGCTTCTGTAAAGATTTACAGCCTTGGAAACCCTATGGGACAGTTCTGCTCTGTCCTGTAGGGTCGCTATGAGTCTGCATAGACTCCACGGCAGTGGGTTTGGTTTGATTTTTTTGTTCTCTTCCTTTGTCTTTATTGTCACTATCCTGCCTAGTTTGATTCCTTTCTTAGCTGTTTCTCCTTAGTCCTTGTCCTAGAAAGAAGCCCTGGCTGGTAAATTCTGAGAGTTTATAAGGGGCATAGACTGCTCCAGCCCCTTCACATCTTACCAGAGACCCCTTCACTGACTTGCTACTGGCAAAACCTCCCAACTCAGCAAATGTTCTTAAATTGACCTACTGTTCTTTCCAGTGACTACCTGTTGGCTATTTTGAGGTTCTCCTGTTCTCAGGTCTGTAAGATACCTTGTTGTTCGCTTTGCATACACACTGATATCATGAGAGTCTTGTGACTATCCTGTCCTGTCCTGTTCTATAGGGTCTCTATGAATTAGAATTGACTCGACAGCAACAGGTTTTGTGACTGTCAGTATTTTGTCCTCATCTGCTTGTTTTTTGTGGGGATATCTTATCACATGATTTTGTTTTAAATATTGCCCCTGTGTTTTTGGTTTCGGTATCCAGTTACTCTGCTTTTATGTGAGGGTTTGGGGAGATTCAAAACCCATGCTGCTTGCTGCCAACTACCCAGAATCTGGAGACTGTTGTTAGTTGCCATTGGGTCAGCTTTGACTTATGGCTATCCCATGAACAACAGAACAAAATGTTGTATTGTCCTGCGTCATCTTCATGATCATTGGTATGCTTGAGTACATTGCTGCAACCACTGTGTACTTTGAGTGCCTTCCAACCTAGGTAGTTCATCTTCTAGCACTATATCAGACAGTATTCTGTTGTATTTCATAGGGTTTTCAGAAGTAGATCACCAGGCCTCTCTTCCTAGTCTGTCTTAGTCTGGAAGGTTTGCTGAAACCTCTCCACTAGGTAGAGGACCCTGCTTGTTTTTGAAATTCTGGTGGCATAGTTTCCAGCATCATAGCAACATGCAAGCCACCACAGTATGACAAACTGACAGATGGTGGATGGGAGTTATCAAATCTTAAAAATCTTTATCAGTTGGATCAGTGAAAAACAGATCTCATTGTATAATTTGTACATTATATTGTATACAATTTATGTTCACATTCTAAGAGGTTTGGTATATTTTTATTTTACTTTTTAAATTTATTTTGTTGTTGTTTTTGAGAATATACACAGCAAAACATACATCAATTCAACCGTTTCTACATGTACAATTTTGCAAATTCAGTGACTTGATTATGTTCTTCAAGTTGTGCAACCATTCTCACTTCCCTTTCTGAGCTGTTCTTCCCCCATTAACATAAATTCACTGCCCCCTAAGGTTCCTAGCTAATCTTTCAAGTTCCTGTTGTCACTTTGATCCCATATGGATAGATCTTAAAGAGGTTCAGTGTATTTTCATCTATTTAAAAGACCTAGTGATATAAACTGTTTTTAAAAAAATATATGTGTAAACTATCTTTTTTTTAATATATTTTATTTTTATTGTACTTCAGGTGAAGGCTTACAGAACAAATAGTTTCTCATGAAGCAGTAGTATACATATTGTTTTACGACATTGGTTAACAACCCCACAGCATGTCAACCCTCTCCCTTCTCGACCTTTTCTTTTCGGTGAAAATATACATAGCCAAAGATACACCATTTCAAAAATTTCTACATGCACAGTTCAGTGACAGTGACTATGCTCTTCCAATTGTGCTGCTATTCTCACTTTAAATGAAGGCTTACAGAACAAAACAGTTTCTCATTTAACAGTTAGTACACATGTTGCCCTATGACAATGGTTAACAACCTCACAACACATCAACACTATCCTTACTCAACCTTGGGTTCCCTATCACCAGCTTCCTTGTCCCCTTCTGCCTTCTGGCCCTTGTCCCTGGACTGCTGTACCTTATTAGTCCCATTTGGACAACTCCCAGGCTGAACGGTGAACCTCAGAGATGACTTCACCACTGGGCTAAAAGGGTGTCTGTGGGCCATACTCTCAGGGTTTCTCCAGTCTCCTTTAGACCAGTAAATCTCGTCTTTTTTGTGAGTTAGAACTTTGTTCTACATCCTTCTCCAGCTCTATCCAGAACCCTCTGTTGTGATCCTGGTCAGAGCAGTCAGTGGTGGTAGCCGGGCACCATTTAGCTGTACTGGACTCAGTCCGGTGGAGGCCTTGGTAGCTGTGGTCCATTAGTCCTTCGGGCTAATCTTTTCCTTGTATCCTGTTCTCTTCATTCTCCCTTGCTCCCGAAGGGATGAGACCAGTGGAGTATCTTGGATGGCTGCTCACAGGCTTTTAAGACCCCAGACGCTACTCACCAAGGCAGAATGTAGAACATTGTCTTTATAAACTGTGTTATGCCAATTGAGCTAGATGTTCCCCGAGACCATGGCCCAACAGCCCTCCACCCAGAAATTCAGTCCCTCATGGAGTTTGGATGTGTCTATGGGGCTTCCATGATGTAAACTATCTTTTGAAAAACAGATTATGTGGACAAAATTTGGATTATGACTGACTCATAATAGATTAAGATAAATAAATGAAAGGTAGCTGGTAAAATATTTGGAATTTTTATTTATTACTTTTCAAATACAAGATGATTTTAGTATTTACTTATTCTAATTCATAACTCATTTATACTAGTGTCTTTATATAAGTATCTGGAATAATTTTAGAATTATAATTACTTTTTATCCATACTGCTACATGGCTTCTTATGCAATTTAAATAAAAGTTATTTAATTTTACTAATAAAATGTGATAATATTTAATGTAGATCTTTAATAGGCACATGATATTTTAGTGAAAAGTTATAAATGATACCACTTAAACAGGAAGCCCTGATGACACAGTGGTTAAGTGCTCACCTGCTAACCGAAAGGTGAGTGGTTTGAACCCACTAGCTGCTCCACAGAAGAAAGGTGTGTGGCAGTCTGCTTCTGTAAAGATTACAGCCTTGGAAACCCTATGGGACAGCAACGGGTAACCACTTAAAGATTTTTGTTTCTTAGGCCTTGACCTTATTTTAAAAGTTTTTAAAAGATATTTTACGTAGACTCTGCATGAAAAAGGTAACTTATTCTTACCTATTCTAGACCTGTGGATATCTGGGCTTTGGGCTGTATGATCATTGAGATGGCCACTGGAAATCCCTATCTTCCTAGCAGCTCTGATTTGGATTTACTCCATAAAATTGTTTTAAAAGTAGGTAGGTATTACTGAAGTATTTTGTTACATGCTTAAAATAAATATTGCCAGATCAATTCTGCTTGATTTTCAAATTTAGCTTTTTCTTCATAAGAACAGGGAAGCACGTTGTTTTGATAGATGGCAGCAGATGGATGCCTTAGGCTGATAAAGAAGGCAGAAAATTCTCCTCTGTTTTTGCAAATTAAAAAAAAATACTGTTTTTGTAATATTTTCTTTGCCCAGGTACAAATAGCTATGCCGTATGTTAGTGGTTGATGGTCAGAAAAATAGTTCAATAAGAACCTACTTCAGTTTGCTTGAAAGTTGTTTTTAAATTTTGACTTCTATAAATCTTTCCATCTCTAAATGAGGATTTAAAAATAATACAGATGAGTCAGATGCTTTTTTAAGACACTTGGAGATAGCCGGATAGCTAAATAACTTATTTGGGGATGTATATGATTAGAGCTTAATTATCTGATGATCTGCTTTGTAATCCAAACATTGTGATGGTTAGCCATGCTCATGGCATGTCAATGATTTGTTTTCTTTGTATTTCTGAATGAGGACCTTGAGGAGCCCTTAGTGTGGTGAGGAAGCTATACATCAGCATGTAGTTATAGAAGCATTAGGAAGGACTATGATAGTACTGTGAACAACTATAAAAATTGTGAAATCTGGATAAATACTGATTCAAGATGTAGTTCAGAGCTGCAAAGTATTATACATTTTTGTGTGTGTGATCTTTAAAGTTTTGGTTATGAGATTAATGCTAGAAGGAACCTTAGAGATTTGGGTAGCAGTTCTTTCATAGAGATTTTGGAATCACTTCTCATTTTACAGATGAAGAAACCCAGGCACAGAAAGGGAAGAGATTTGCCCAGGGTTAAAGAACTAATTACGGCAAAACTGGTGCTACAACTTAGGACTCTCAACTCATATAGTTCTTTTTTACTACTACTTCTCTCTAGCCTTATTTCTTCTTTGCAATACTTCGATTGCTAAGCAATTTTAATAATTTAGCTTTTTTTGAGTAAGACTTGCTGATAAGCACTTGCGAGTCAAACTATTTAGATACCCACATGGAAATGTGTAAAAGTCTGAATGTGCTTTTCCTAATAGCATTATATATTATGTTTTATAGTTTGGGAAAAGAAAATGAACTTGGTGGTTTTGCATTCTCTGTTAGGTATATGCTACAACAGATTACTGGGAAAATCTCAATTTTTTTTTAATGATGTATTTAGGTAGTTTAAAACTTTAAAGTTCATAAGTGTTATTCTCATCTCAGTTTCTAGTAATTTAATGTAGGTCATATAGCAATTTGATTATTTTGACTATAGACTAATTTCCCCGTTTTCTTATTTTTTTTGTAATATATTTTTTGTCTTTTCAGGTGATTTGACACCTCACTTGCAGAACATCTTTTCCAAGAGTCCCACTTTTGCTGGTGTGGTCCTTCCTCAAGTTCAACACCCCAAAAATGCAAGAAAAAAATACCCAAAGCTAAATGGATTATTGGCAGATATAGTTCATGTATGTTAAGAGATTAAAGATTTATTTCTGGAAAATTTGCATAAATTATAATATAGTTTTAAACTATTACTGTAATGAAATGCCAAAAGCATTAGTGATGTTATATATTAAAAGTTACTATATTCCTTTTTAAAATTTACTACCAGTTCTAGTTGCTTCTGAGTCATTTCTGACTGATGGCAACCTCATATGTGTCAGAGTAGAACTGTATTCCGTAGGAGTTTCAAAGGCTGATTTTTTGGAAGTAAATTGCCAGGCCTTTCTTCTGAGGTACCTCTGGGTAGACTTGAACCTCCAATCTTTCAATTAGTAGCTGAGTGCATTAACTGTACTACCCAGAGACTCCCAAAATTTAACTACAGGGAAATTAAAATTCAGAGACTGTTAGATCTGTAAGCCCTTTAAGATAATCATGTCCATTATTTTTTAGTTTATCCCATTTTTAATGATAATTAGGGATAAAATGGAAAAATTTTAAGGCCTTGTCATGTTTACCGCCATATTTTATTTAGCATCCAGTCTACTCGGGCCAGGGATCTGTTCTTTGTACTATGGTACCCTAAAGTATCTACAAGGCATTAGCAGCTGTAATTTTAATGTTGTTCAAAGATATAATACCAAGATTCACCTTGAGTTGGAGCAAAACAAAAACATTGTATAACCTTTTTTTTATTATTTTAAAGTTTAAATTTCATTTTTAAACTAAATAATAAATATATCATACAGTTAGTATTAAATTCAAAAGGTGGAAGTTTTACTGTGAAAAGTAAACTGCTTCTATTTCTGTTCTCTAACCAGTCAATTTCTCTTCCCCAGGGTAATAAGCGAAGTAACTCATTTCTAATGTGCAGCCCTTAAAATATGGTTATAATCCAGACTTTCTGGAGCCATGGAAGCTGGATGAACCCCTGAACCTATTGTCCTGAGATAATCTTTAAATCTTAAACCTTAAACCAAAAATATCCCCGAACTCTTCTTAAAACCAAATAGTCTAGTTTGACTAGTAAAGAATGTCTTCCTTGAGCATTGTGCTCTTTTAAGATCTATCTATATGGGATGAAATTGACAACAGCAATTTGAAAGATTAGATAGGAAACTTAGGGGCCAGTGAATTTATGTTAATGGGGGAGGAACAACTCAGAAAAGGAGGGCGAGAATGGTTGCACAACTCGCAGAATATAATCAATGTCACTGAATTGTACATACAGAAATTGTTGAATTGGTGTATGTTCTGCTGTGTATATTCTCAACAACAACAACAAAAATAAAATAAATTATTAAAAAATGGTTATCTAAATTTCAAAGTAAGTGTAGTGTAGTGTGTAAAAGAAAGAGCCCTGGAATCACATAGCCTACGTTTAAAACCCAGCTCTGCTACTAATTAGCTCCGTACCCTGGGAAAAGTTCCTTAACCTCCATGCCTTTAATTTCCTCAGCTATAAAATGACAATAATAGTACTTATCTTCTGGGTTCAGAGGATTAAATGAGGTATTGGCAGAAATGTGTTTAGCGCACAGCCTTGAATAAGCTGCCAACAAATGTTGTTAATGTTAACTGTTGTTGCTGTTATTTAGGTAAACCTAAACATATGTGTCTTCTAAAGAATAATTATTCTTAAAAGAAAAATATATTTCATTGTTACATGAGAAGAACTGGATCAGATTTATTTACTGCATTTATTTATTTACTGTATTTTCAGTTTGTTTTTGTTGTTGCTAGCTGCCATGGAGGTGACTCCAACTCACAGCAACCTCATGCATAATGAGATCAGACCATCGTGTTCCATACGGTTTTCGTTGGCTGATTTTTTGGAAATAGATTACCTTTCTTCCTAGTCTGTTTATTCTGGAAGCAGTGGTAGTTCAGTGGTAGAATTCTCCCCTTCCATGTGGGAGAACCAGGTTTGATTCCTGGCCAGTGTACCTTACGAGCAGCCACCACCTGTCAGTGGAGTCTTGCATGTTGTTATGATGCTGAACAGGTTTCAGTGGAACTTCTAGACTAAGACAGACTTTTTTTTTAATTGTACTTTAGATGAAGCTTTACAGAACAAACTAGTTTCTTATTAAACAATCAGTACCTGTATTGTTTTGTGACGTTTGTTGCCAACCCCACAACATGTCAACACTCTCCCCTTCTCGTCTTTGGGTTCCCTATTACCAGCTTCTCTGTCCCCTCCTGTCTTCTCATCCTTGCACCTGGGCTGGTGTGCCCGTTTAGTCTCGTTTTGTTTTATGGGCCTGTCTAATCTTTGGCTGAAGGGTAAACCCCAGGAGTGACTTCATTACTGAGCTAAAAGGGTGTCTGATGGCCATACTCTCGGGGTTTCTCCAGTCTCTGCCAGACCAGTAAATCTGGTCTTTTTTTGTGTGTGTATAAGTTAGAATTTTGTTCTACATTTTTCTCCAGCTCTGTCTGGGACCCTGTATTGTGATCCCTGTCAGAGCAGTCAGTGGTGGTAGCTGGGCACCATCTAGTTGTACTGGACAGTCTGGTGGAGGCTGTAATACCTGTGGTCCATTAGTCATTTGGACTAAGCTTTCTCTTGTATCTTTGATTTTGTTTATTCTCCCTTGCTCCAGACGGGGTGAGACCAGTGGAATATCTTAGATGGCTTCTCACAAGCTGTTAAGACCCCAGATGCTACTCAGCAAAGTAGAATGTAGAACATTTTCTTTATAAACTATGTTATGCCAATTGAGCTAGATGTTCCCCTAAACCATGGTCGCCACAGCCCTCAGCCCAGTAATTTGGTCCTTCAGGGAGTTTGGATGTGTCTATGGAGCTTCCACGACCTTGCCTTGGCTGGCTTCCCCAGTGTTGTGTACTGTCTTACCCTTTACCAAAGTTACCACTTATCTATTGTCTATTTAGTTTTTTTCCATCCTCACCCCTCCCCTACTTCATAACCATCAAAGATTGTTTCTTTTTGTGTGTAAACCTCTTCATGAGTTTTTATAGTAATGGTCTCATAAAATATTTGTCCTTTTGTGTTTGACTTATTTTGCATAATGCCCTCCAGATTCATCCATGTTGTGAGATGCTTTGCAGATTCATCATTGGTCTTTATTGTTGCATAGTATTCCATTGTGTGTATGTACCTATTGTTTGTTTATCCATTCATCTGTGGATAGACATCTAGGTTGTTTCCCTCTTTTTGCTATTGTTAACAGTGCTGCAATGAATATGGGTGTGCCTATGTATATTTGTGTGATGACTCTTATTTCTCTAGGATATATTCCTAGGAGTGGGATTGCTGGATCATATGGTATTTCTATTTTTAGCCCTTTAAGGAAGTGCCATATCATTTTCCAAAATAGTACCATTTTGCATTCCCACCAGCAGTGCATAAGAGTTCCAGTCTCCCCACAGCCTCTCCAGCGTTTGTTATTTTCTGTTTTTGTGATTCGTGCCGGTAATGTTGGGGTGAGATGGTATCTTCTTGTGGTTTTGATTTGCATTTCTCTAATGGCTAGTGATTGAGGGCATTTCCTCATGTGTCTGTTAGCTGCTTGAATGTCTTCTTTGGTGAAGTGTCTGTGTCTGTTCATATCCTTTGCCCATTTTTATTTTTACTTATTTATTTTTTACTGTGCTTTAGGTGAAAGTTTACAGCTCAAGTTAGTTTCTCATACAAAAATACATACACACATTGTTATGTGACCCTAGTTTCTATCCCTGTAATGTGACCACACATTTCTCCTTTCCACCCTAGATTTCCCGTGTCCATTCAACCAGCTCCTGACCCTCTCTGCCTTCTCATCTCGCCTCCGGACAGGAGCTGCCCATTTAGTCTAACGTATCTACTTGAACTAAGAAGCATGAGTATCATTTTATGTCTTATAGTCCAGTCTATTCTTTGTCTGAAGAGTTGGCTTCAGGAATGATGTTAGTTCTGGGCTAACAGAGAGTCTGGGGGCCATGTCTTCTAGTGTTCCTCCAGTCTCAGTCAGACCATTAAGTCTGGCCTTTTTACCAGAATTTGAGTTCTGCACCCCACTTTTCTCCTGCACCGTCAGGGACTCTCTGTTGTTCCTTGTGAGGCCAGTCATTGGTGGTAGCTGGGCACCATCTAGTTCTTCTGGTCTCAGGCTGATGCAGTCTCTGGTTTATGTGGCCCCTTTTGTCTCTTCGGCTAATATTTTCCTTGTGGCTTAGGTGTTCTTCATTCTTCTTTGCTCCAGGTGGGTTGGAACCAATTGATGCATCTTAGATGGCCGCTTGCATGCTTTTAAGACCCCAGATACCACTCACCAAAGTAGGATGTAGAACATTTTCTTAATAAATTTTGTTATGCCAGTTGACTTAGATGTCCCCTGAAACCATGGTCCCCAGACCCCTGCCCTGGCTACGCTGTCCCTTGAAGTGTTTGGTTGTGTTCAGGAAACTTCTCAGCTTTTGGTTTGGTTCAGTGGTGCTGACCTCCCCTGTACTGTGTGTTGTCCTTCCCTTCACCTAAGATAATTCTTGTATACTGCCTAGTTAGTGAATTCCCCTCTACCTCCCTTCCCACCCTCATAACCATCAAAGAATGTTTTCTTCTGTATTTAAACCTTTTCTTGAGTTATTATAATAGTGGTCTCATACAATATTTGTCCTTTTGCAACTGACTAATTTCACTCAGCATAATGCCTTCCAGATTCATCCATGCTATGAGATGTTTTGCAGATTCATCGGTCTTTATCGTTGCATTGTATTCCATTGTGTGAATATACCATAATTTGTTTATCCATTCATCTGCTGACGGGCACCTAGGTTGTTTCCATCTTTTTGCTATTGTAAACAGTGCTGCAGTGAACATGGGTGTGCATTTATCTATTCATGTAACAGCTCTTATTTCTCTAGGATATATTCCAAGGAGTGGTCCTTTGCCCATTTTTTAATTGGATTATTCATCTTTTTGTTGTAGAGGTGTTGGATTTTCCTGTAGATTTTAGAGATTAGACCTTTGTCAGATTTGTCATAGTCAAAAGTTTTTTCCCAGTCCGTAGGTTCTCTT